GCATGCCATATTCTACATAGTTATCCATTGTTGTCCTACTATAGCTGTCTGTTGTAGTACCTTCATATTTACTACCAAGAAAGCTAAACATGGTTAAAGGCAGTGGAAAAACATAAAAGGAACTAATCACATTCTGATGCTTAAAATGAAAAGTTGATTATTCCTAGCAATGCATATATCCCCACATAAGTTATCACTAAATTTCATGTACATTACTATAAAGCAGTTTTAAGGCTTTATCAGTAGTGCGTTCTGTACATTAAAGTATGAAATTAATTGTAGATTGTTGCTTTGTTCTTATTTCTTTGCCCATGTTCACTCTCCCCATTGATACACAACTACAGCCTTTTAAACCAACTAAGATGCAAATGGGCAAGATAGGCTCTAGCTGTACCTGTATGATAAATACTCTGTTGGGCATTCCATTGTAGACTCTCAGGGAACAGTTTAAATGCTGCTTTTATTAAAACAATGACAATCTGATTCAATAATTCTAAGCCAATTTGGCTTTCAAAGACATGAGAACAAAATCTGTCTTCTAGCTTCATTTTATTATAATTATTGGTTAGAAAGTGAGTTCTGCATATATTGGTATATAACCTAACCTCTGAAACTCAATACTACTCTGCTACATAACATGAAAATCAACAATATTGTCAGAGTGAAAGGCTGAGGGATGCTATAACTAAAAGGGCATGGTTTTTGGTCAAGGAGAGGTAGAAGGGGTCATATCTTCCCCTACTCTGCCTGTGCCACACAGGGGATTAAATAAGGTAGTACAAAAACGCTCCGACACCTTAATGTCTGATCTCAAGATCCTCTGAGTGGGCACATGGTTTTAAAGCAATGTTCTTTTCTGTGCACTTGCCCAGACAGAGTTAGAATTTAGCAGGAAGTTTCTAAGAAAAGTTGTGAAGCCTAACAGGGAGGGTTGTGTCTTCACCTCCACTGTCTATGTGAAACAGTTCTCTCTTCAGAACGGTTGCAGCCATACACAACACCGGAAAATGACATACCTTCTTCTTCGGTGGCTGTTTCCTGATTCTAGCCATGATATGTCACAGGGCTTCAAGTGTACTCAAGATGTGCCAGAAAAACAATGTTGGAGAAAACATTCTGCTATTTGGGTTAATTAATATATCTGGGCTTTAATTTTCGATAATTTGAATAGCAAGATAACCTGGTCTAGTGGGAGGTATCTCTGCCATGGCAGGGGGGTTGGAACGAGATGATCTTTGAGGTCCCTTCCAACCCAAACCATTCTATGATTCTATGATAACTTATCAAAAGAATTGTAAGTACAGTTGTTTTATAAATGTATAAAACATTGGCATGTTAGCAACACACATTTGTGATGTAATTTCTAACACTGCCTTTGGTTTCTTTCTGTCATCAAGAAAGTTTTCTGAATAAACAAGTGTACTGGTGTCATTTCCCTAGCTAGTGTGGCATGCAATGTAGATACAGTTATAGAAAGCTCTAACTCCACTATAGCTTGGCTTGCTACCAAACTCAAAAAGTGAAGTCAATGGTGAAATGCACAGGGCACCAACAAGCAGTGTTGAGTAGGAGGGACCAGCTCTACACCTTCTGCCTTAGGGATTTTTTTTTTTTTTGCAGGCAATGGCTTGTAATCATCCTACCCTGAAATTAGATGTAAAATTAAGAGTGTAAAATCTTATTCTACATTTCCCTCTGCCATCCCTTCCATCCCATCTTTATTGATTAAAGAAACATTCTTTGTTTTTTAAATTGATTTTTAAGCATTAGCTTCTGGGGCTTTAAGAATCAATGCACTTGCTCTTGCTGCAAGTACTGGATGCAAGGTTGCTACTGAATCTATCTGTAAGATGTACCATGATTGTTTTTCCAATTTATGAAAGTTCTTCCTTTCCACTGCATAAATGAGTATGTTATCATTTGGCTGCCTTGAGATGTACCTGCAAAGTGGAAGAGCATAAGAAAGAGAGACATGCTCAAAGAACAAGAAACATCTATTAGATTGTATATTTAACTGTGTAGTGAACAAAATAATTTAGGAGTTTCACAAAGTTGCAAGGAGCATTCTAAGTCAGATGCATGATAATGGGGCTTGACCTGATGGGCCATGACACCTCTAAGTGTCCTAAGCTCCGTGACGCTGTCTTCTAACCCAGGCAATGAGGAAGCGTCTCCAACAAATTTAATTTCTTTATCCTTGCAAATGTGTGCTTGAGCTTAATCATAAGGACAGAGGCTGCAAAAGTGACTCGTGATTTTGAGTACCCTCTCTAAACTGTATAAGAAGGAAGCATATGCCTGCGGGATAAATTCAGGCTCTCTTTAAGACACTGCAAACTGAAGTTCCAGCAAAGAAAGAATCCAAAATTCAGAGTGAGTGGAAATTCTTGGTCTCTTTTATGGTATTGGTAACCATGTAGTAAATTGTGCTATATAGAAATGATATAACATAGAGATGAACTGTGGATGTCCTTGCTACCGGCTGTTCTGAGAGCGGAATGTTTACGTGGAATCACTTTTTATTTGGAAAAAAACATAGAAGAAAAATGCAAGAGGGCTCTTAAACTAAAAAATTTTGTCTCAGAAAGTCTCTGAGCTGCAGATTACTGGAAGTTGGGAGCACAGTGTCATTACTTTTGGCCCATTCTCATTGTCTTTCCTAGGTATCTGTCCTTGTTCACCATTGGAGACAGGATGCACTACACTGACTTTTGGGCTGATTTAGTGCAGCTGCTCCCACATCCTTGCATTATGTTAACAATACATGTAGACAAAGACCAGCTCTAATTTATTTTACTTAGCTATGATTTGAAAGTGATGGTAACACAAGTCCTTGAAATCGACATGCATATATAAAGAGCATTTCTTTTATATTCTGCTCATGTTTTATATGAACTTGGATCTTTCAGCTGTGTCTCAGTAATGACAAGAAATCAGAGAGCTGTTTTGTGGATGATAGAAGTGAGGAACTGACTTGATGAATTGTCAGAGCCAAACATAATACAGGATAGAGTTGAATGAACCTTCAAAAACAGCTTAGTTACGGAGCCTACAATCCAAAGTCAGTGAAGGTAATGGTGAAGGAAAGTTGGACCCTATCCAGTGGTACTTTACTTTTCAAAATGATTGAAATCTGAGAAAAAGAGAACCAAGAGAAGAAACCTCAGAAATCCATTTATATGGAAAGTACTCTTCTCCTTCAACCCACTCCCTCAATTTGCATAAACATGTCTCTCAGCAGTTAAATCATGCGACGTAGACATCTCTGAAACTAGACATCTTCAAGCAAGTGTAATCCCTCTATTTCTGAGGGTTAGCTTCCCAGTTGTTCCTGCAGCTACAAAATATTGTGGATATGTGAAGGACAGAATTTTTTTTCTTAAAGAGGTACTGTGATTCAGAACTTCTTTCTGTAGTGTTAGCATGCAGCAAAGAAAACAGATTGATATTATATTTTGTGAGAAAAAAAACTAAAGGGAAAAACCAGCTAAGATCTTGATCAGAAGTACTTGTTCTTTGGTATGACTTCAGGTGCCAGCCACTCCCAGTGGCACCAGGGGAGACAACGTGATGACATCTTCCTATCTTTTCCTGACAGAAATCTTTGTGGTAGCCAGAATGAACAGTGTGCACATTGCATCCACTACACACTAAGAAGCTCTGTGACAGGCTGAGTCATATTAAATATCTTGTGAAGCACCTGACAGGACTGATATTCTACACCACACCCTGATGTAGAGCTGCGTCTTCAAAGAACAATCAAAATCTTTGTTTGCAGAAATGCCACCCATATGCAGAAACAAAATTTCACAAAAGGTCTGATCTGAAAGACTGGCATGCTCTGATGTCATGTCAAATTCTCTTGCTTCTCTAGGGTGTGGAAGACACACTGCCCATATACTCCTTTCTACACGGTTCTTTTCTAAACTAGAAATAGATTCTAATAATTTAATAATGGTAAATGAGATAACAATAATATGCTACAGAACCTGGTCTTTCAGGATCTTCACTTCCATCACTCCCACTAAACATAAAAAAGACAGGTATGCAAACATGCGAAACCACTAATAGTTCAGATACAAACCTAAGACACAGGTATTCTTAGGAAATCACATCCAGAGGGAAATAACTGTCAATAGTTTTATATTATTAAATAACTGTTTTTTAATAATGGGGAGGTGAACGTATACAGTCTTTTCCAAAGTAAAGCTTTAGGTGAGGTATTTTTTTCTAAAGGTGCAACACGGAACTCAGACTGCAAAGCTGACGCAGCTTGTGCTTAACCAGACAAGCAAGGGCTTGATAAACCAAAATTGCTCAACCATTTAATCCACACATTTAACGTTTTCACAGGTAGGTCACTTAACACTAAATACCTCCCAAGCTTTTGGAGGAAATGTAACTGCTGACACAGATTTTGTCCCCTAATATCTGCTGTTACATCAAGACTATCTCTAGCATCAAGAAAGCCTTCCAACAAAGCCTTCCCAGTGTAAGAAGTGGGTGTGGAACATAAGACATCACAACGGAATTTATTCAAAATGTGGGGACCTGACTTCAAAGTTTCATCCTATCTCCTTCAGAAAGATAGGTTACAGATGGCACTGCATGTATTTACATGGTATGATAATCTAGAAGCATATTTCAGTCCTCCTTATCTCCCATTCATGGCTATACAGTAGTTTGAAGATGGGGAGTGCTATGTAAATGCTAAGTATTTGACTGATCACCTGTTACCAAAAACTGACTGAATCTGCTATAGAGAATGAAATACTTTTCATTATCCTGAGAAACAGAAAACCTTCTCAGTCAAGAAGGCAGGGCTGGCACATTTAACTCAAGGTCATCACAAGAGTTGCAACTACATCTTCTCTTTGACACAGGGACAGAACCAAAAGCACAGTCAGTGAACCAAAGCATGATACTGTGCTAAGCAAGTGTTGAATTAATCAGCATATGATCATTCTGTTTATTTTCCTACTTGGTTAATTTTCCCTTACCTGAAAGTCAGAAGCCCAAGTGCCTCCAGAGGGTTAGAAAATCTCCATCTCCTTAACATGGCATACATTTCTGATACAGTCGTTCAATCCCAACTGGGTGCACTACCCAGTACCAGAGGAAGGGAGCAATTTTGATTATTGCAGTAGTAACGATAAAACCACAAGATTCTTCTCTGTTGCTCTGAGAGTCTGGAAGAGAAGATTAAGAATTCAGTTTGAAATTAAAACCACCTGGAGCTTTGTGTAGCAACAAACTTTATTGTACAGAGGGGCCAAGTCATACAGTACACTGCTTTTCAGCTAAGTACGTGTTTTCCTTGGGGTAGGATATCATTTTCTGCAGACCAGCTTTTATAAGAAAAGTGATACTTATACTCTGGATCTGTCAGCCTTGGGTCATATAAAAATGAAGTGTCAAAAGACACACATATATGGTTATTTCACTTCCGTCTCATTTTTCTTCTCCACTGTCTCTGTTGTTGGTTGTTTGTTCGTTTTTACTAGGGTTTTCTGACAGAGACAAAGAAAATGCAGTTATCACCGGATAAATTATTGTTACATTCATCTGCTATACATCATCTCTAACTAACTACCGTAACAATTAGACACACAATAGCGCTAGCCATAGCTTTCACTCCTGCCCTTGCTCTGTTTAATGCAGGTGTGTCTATTTTTAGTCTATTTGCATTTAAAAAAGGGTTTAGGTCCTATCCATACACACACACAAGAACACAAGTGTGTGTGCATGTGCACACACACAGAGACTGTGATTATCCCTAGCACTGGTATGAGCCTGGAAAAGGGAAGGAAAGCTCTCAGCGACTTCTGTGTTTTTGCAAGGCCTAGCATGCCATGCTTCACTGCACTCACAAAAAAGGATGCAATACCAAATTCCTCATAGAAATATTAGATATCTAAATGACACATTGATAAAATGCTCAGTCACCATACTATATTTCACCGCAGCGAGAAATGCCTCAGAATAATTTTTGCTATTTATCCTCTGATTTGTCAAAAATTCAGATGTCTTTGCCTCATGCATATTAAATCCCAGCTTTTGATATCATCAGGAAACAGAAAAGGAAATTCCCCATGAGAGACAAGCTCCGACAATCTTCTTAATTTGATATCAGAGCCTTCAAAAGCAAGCTTTGAGAGTGCAAACTGATCTCCAGCTCACACAAATCATTACTGAAACGAAAAGGAACATTGGTTTTCTTGGTTACACTTGACCAAGTGATCCATCTACTTAATAATGTAACAGTGACTTTAAGCAGGCCTAGATATTTCAGAGCAAGGTATGAGAAACCTTGTAGAAGGCAGTAAGTAAATAGCTCATTTCCAGTCAAGCGTTTCATTATCCAGATGTGTAAGCAGGGCTCAAAATCAGTGTTTACATTCTTTCCAAGGTCGTCTTCCTTCTATTTGAGATGTTTCGGGACATTCTTAGTCAAAAAACTATGTTAGCCCTGCTCTAACTCTCAAGACTGTGGCTTTCACCACTCATAGCAATAAGTTCCTTTGTCTCTGTGTGCAATAGGGAACTTTTCTTCTTTGCAATTTTGAATTGCCAAGCATTTAGGAACAAAGAGTGGCAGTACAAAAATTGGCATGTTTTTTACTGTCACAAGAGTGAATGTTTATTTCTTTCCTTCAGGAGAATAAGCTCATAAATGTATGCAGAAGATGGCCTACCTGTGATACAAATTCGGTCATGACTTTCAGTAATCGTTTCAAGAAAAGTATCATTTTGGTAACCATTTCACGAAACAGCTTCAGAATTCACAGCATGTCTATTGTGACAATAGACAGGTCTTTGTGTTTGTGTGAAGAAGTCACACACAGAAAAAAAAGAGATAAAAGTAGGCCTAAGACTTTATTGCCTGTCTGGTTATTTTATGCATTCAGATGGTATTCTGCAGGACAGTTCAGCTAAAGGACCCCCTTTTATATGTTGACTTTAAACAGAGATTTAAGCTTTCAAACAGCATCCTCCAAACTAGATGATCTGTTGTTCCGATTAAAGCAGCTAAAGCCTCTACTGAGCTTGCAAAGGGAGATAAGAAATCAGTCCTTGTATCAGGTTTTCTAAATAACGGATTTCTCCCTCTGACTTTACTCCAGAGGCAATACCATTTTCACTTTCCATGTTTTAAAGATCAGAGATGAAATTAAAGGTGCAGTGGGGTTTTCTTAGGTTTTAATTTTAAGTTACTTAGTTGTAACCAGAGTTTATATATACATATAACAAGACTTTTAAGATAGATGGTAAAAGTACTTTGCATACATATAGCATTTGAAGATTATTATGCAAATAAGGACATTTATTTGGCTCAATAGGGATAAGATACTAATAAACCCTCTATATTTATAAAAATGCAGTTTACATTTTTTTTAACTTTTCCTCCATACAACAGCTATATTAAAATACGTAGCCTTCTACTCAACACAAATAAAAATAAAATATCTTAAAACCTAAATAATTCAGTAGTTTTCAGTTTCTAAGTTTTCATTAATCCCTTTAGCTAAATGAAGAAAACAGCTTCTGTGAAAGCTTTGTTAGCTGGTCTTAATTATTACTTCTTTTGTGAGGGAAATGGCAAAAATATGTTTAAACGCTTCTGAGCTGTTTTTTGTTGTTCATGTTTAGTACTAAAGCAGAACAAAACAAAAGGAGTTTCTCTCCTGTGGACAGACAAGTGTGCAGCATCACTACACTTTTTTAGACTTGTTCCACTATTCACCCAAGTGGAAGTAGCCTTTCTAATCATGGTTCACAGCAATGGCACTCTCGTGACAACTGGAAGACAAACTAGAAGTGGCAAAAAGGAAAGGAAAAGAAAAAGGGATGCTGAAAGAGAGGGAAAAGGTAGAAGGAAAGACAATGAGTGAAGGAAAGAAAGATGGTAGAAACAAGATTGTCATCTTCCTGGCTTCAAACCAGCCTCTGATCCTTACACTAGGAGCCATTGCACACAAGCAGGCTCTATCACTCTCGAAGAGCAGCCATTATCTCAGACGGCTAGTTTTCTGGGGTTTGTATTTCAAACACAGTAATCCTAAAAGGAATCAAAGGCTCATATCTGAAATGTTTTCAGAAGCCAGCCAAAGCAGCTGGCAGTAACTAATGAATTCTTTTGGTGTCCTCTCTCTTCCTGGTTTGGTGATGATGCCAAAGATCACAGCAGCACAGTGTAGGGCTGTGAGGAGCACAACAGCCATATGGTGAAGTTCATTGACTTCAGTCCCATTGATCCCTTCGTTAATCACCATCCAAGAGATGTTGGCCATGGGGACCACCTACCAGAGAGACAGAGGGTCAAGAGTCAGCTACTAGGAAGACCATATGTCTGGACCGGCTACCAGGGAAACCCACATCCGTGTAACAGGAAGAGGCCCAAGCATCAGCAACGAAATCAGAGTGTGGTTGTGAGCATCCTGATCCTTACTCTGGAATGGTTTTCTGTTTTGTGGCGTGTGTGTGCTGGTAAGGTACTGCTTTCTGCCTGTGTTGATTTGTTGATATTCTTATCAGGAACACACGGTCCACCTCTCTAATGGCTGAACCTGAGGACACAAAGCCACAGCAGCCTCGCTTTCATAGCACTTTTGGATTCAACACCTGGTAACAAGGACAGCCATGCAGCTGTCTGGTTTTAACCATTGTTTATCCTTTTTCTCCCATACGGTTAAGAACATATTCTGTCCATTCACAAGTTCCCTCTGCTTTCAGCAGAATGGACAGAAGGATCCCAACAGCCTGAGAAAGGTTTCTTGTGTCTTCTAACCACAGACACCCATTTATTTCAAACTCATATTTGAGGCTTGTAAGCCTGAACCATTATCATATAGACATATTGCCAGTAAAAGTTACCTAGGTTCCTCTCTTTTTCTTGACGTGCAAAAAAAAAGGAAGGAAGAGATCTCCAGATATCATGGTAATAATGTGTTTGGATACCACGATGTTGTTATCAATATTTTTAATGAAAACCTTTCGTGACTGAGGAAGGTAAAAAAGAATTACTCTGATACAGATACAACAAAAATTACAACCTGACAGATTCCTCTTGATCAGGAAGTACTTACAAATGGAATTCCTTCATTCAAATTCCAAATATGCTACCCTTTACCTTGATGATTCATTTGCTAGACCAGCTTTCCCCATAAGATAGGATAACTGAAAGCAACAGATTGTGGAAAAAACCCAGGACTACCATTCTCTTTTCTCCAGGAATCTGTTCTTGAACTTATCAAAGCCTTAACTCCAACCTGTTGACTTTCAGTGGTCTCTTCCCTTTATATGCCCACAGAATCCAAAACTGTTGTATTAGGGATGTTATAGGATGTCTACCCTTGCCTGGTCTTTGAAATATGTTTTTATGAAGCTGTTATCCATGAATTCACGTATAGCTTTCATGAATCTGATTATGTTGTCTACCTCCACATCTTTGTGACAGCAGACTGTCTTAGGAAGTACTTCCTTCCATTTGTTGACAACTGAACATTGACTGTCCTTAGTTCAAATATTGTGGGATTTGATGATGCATTCACCTTGTCCACCACCATCAAGATTTTATAAAAATTAATCATACAACACACACACCCTCTAGTCTTCTCTCCAAAAGAAGAAATCCCAGCCTTTTAAGCTTCTCTTGGTCAAGTAGCTGCTTAATCCATTTCATCATTTTAGTTGCCCTTCTCTGTACATTTTCCACATCTAATATGTCCTTCCTGACTTTTGGAGACGAGAACTATGCGACATACTCAAAATACAGCACATCAAGGTTCTAGACAGCAGTGAAATGGCACACTGGCTTCTTCTCTACACCCTTGCTGGCAATGTCCAACATTTTGTTGGCACTTTTGCCTGTTGCTGCACATGGTACTCGTGAGTTCAGGGAAATGCCAGCAGTATTGTAAAGTTATATTTCCTGCATTGTAACTGCCAGTTCTGAGTTCAGTGTCACATACAGATTCTTAGATACTTTGTCCTTAAATATACCCCCTTAAATTTACCCACACTGAAGCTCATCTGCCATGTTTTTGCCCAGTTTTGTAAGGTCCTTCTGGATCCTTCCATAGCACAGTGTTTGACAATCACCTGCGTTTGGAGATTTCCCTGCCCCCTTCCTTCTCCATGTGATCGATGAAGATACTGACTAAAGCTGGTCCCAACCCCGAGCACTGAAAGACCCTACTGCTGATTCTTCCATTCTGAAATGCCACCATTAAACATCCAGTCTTTGCTTTTAACCTCTTTTCCTCTAAACCCATGGCAACTTGGTTTCTTTAACAATCTGATGTGGAACCTCAGCAAAGTTTTCTGAACATCCAAATGCTTTATGTCCACCAAAACCCCAATACCCATATGCACCCACTGACAGCCTTCTAGGTCAGCAACAGGCTGGTGAGGCAGGGTTTCTATGCACAGAAGCCACACTGTCTCTTTCCTGACAAATTACTCCATACTTGACTAAATGCTTAATAATCTTATTGTTTCTTACAGAACCCACCATTTTACCACGAATAGAGGTCAGATGCATTGACTTGAAGTTCCCCAAATCACTTCTGGAGCACATTTTGAAGGTGGAAATTTTCCTGGCACCTTGTCAGCACCCTGTCACAGTGGCTATTTGCAATAAAATATTGAACTCCCATTCATAATTAAAAATAAAATTAATAAAAAGAACCAAAACACAGATCCCATGGTTAATAAAACTAATTTCACATTTCATCCTGTCTTTTTAAAAGTTGAAGTAAGCATCAAATACACCAGCAAGTTTTTATCTTGTCTTTTTTTAAAGAAATTGATTTTGAAAAACCCAACCATCTAACACAGAAATATCTTAACAGATACATTGTATCACACTAAGAGGGCTGAACTAGCTTTAAGTTATTTAGTTATTGTACAACTAATGCACCTTTTTGCCTTTGAAGGAGGATTAGTTCACACAATTAACTGTGACTGGTATAATGGCTCTGTAGGCATCTGTGTTCCCAATTCCACTCTGATTATAGACAAAATTATTTTATACAGTACATAGTCCTACTTGACAGTATAACATACATATAGCTGAGCATACTAATCTGTCTCAGTATATAGTGTTTTGTCTTATTTTGTCTTTAACTACCTTCTGTGAAAGCTAAACTTTCCATACTTCTTTCCTTGTTTATAACTTGACACAGATGGTTTTAATGATCATACGCCATTTAACTACTATATCTGAAGTCTGAGTGTATTTTTAATAGAAGGCTGAATTTCATAGAACCCAAAGGGTTTTTTTGCTAATGCTAATACAGACTTGCATCACCAGAAAATCTTATGTTTTGAATCAAAAATCAGTGTTTTTGCCTCAAAGACATGAAAAGATATAGTAATAGAAAGGGAAAAACAATCCTTTTTTAAACTGGTAAAATATGCTGCCATCTCCAGGGGCTTATTTAGGGTTTGCTGTGACCTATTCTCTCACTTAGAGGTGCTACTTCTCAAATCAATCAAGCTAGACCCCTTCAGAGGAAAATTTGGTTTTTAAAGAATTGGATGCATTTAATTGTGATCGATAGGATAAGTACAGCAAGCCAAGAATCAGGAGGGCTAGCTGGATTCAACTTACAGCAAGACAGAATGTATCTGTGAAAGTCTTGCAATATGCTTCAGGCAGTCTTTGGCTGGCTCTTCAAGATCACATCTTCTTTCTTCAGGTTCGGGTTTAATGAACTCCAAATTAGTTTCTGGAAAGTCAATCTTTATTTAAAAAAAAAAAAAGAAAAGAAAAAAAAAAAAAAAGGAAAAAAAAAGACAGAAGCCCTTTTAGCAATATTCTGTATTCTCAGATATGTCTGTCAGTAAATGTTATCTTGGATTTGTCCAGGAAGCATATGAAATATGAGAGAAAGAAGAGAGGATAATTCTTTGAGGATGTTCACTATTTGTAATACATTACTTAAATATGTTGGCGACAAATTCAGCCCACAAAAATCAATGGGAGCATTGTCACTGACTTTTCTGGGAGAATTTCATCCACTGTATTTCAATTTTCTTGGAACTGCATGAACTCAAAGCTGAAATAATTTTTTCCTGTTTTCCTCCTTTCTTGGTTTTTAATGAGATAGTTCTTAAATGGAAAGTTTCCACCAATGTTGGGTTTGGTTTGTTTGTGGGTTTTTTTTTTTTTTAATTTTTTTTCCTGAAAAAGTAGGGATAATTCCATTGTGTAGTTTGCCAGTGTAAGAGATGGAAATCAGATTCCTCATTTCACTTCTGGATGTTTAATATATATTGTACAGCATCCACCAATTTTTTGTTTGTTGCACTTAATATGGGTGTCAGAAATTTAGGATAAAGTTTTGAAGATACAGAAAAAGAAAACATTCAACCAAATTTGCAAAACCTGAGGTGCTTGATAATCTGAGTACAGACTTAGCTGGAAATTTAGGTTGTTCTTCAAAACTCAGCTCAATTTGCACATCCCTTTTTGATTTATTAATGCACACCATAATCTCTGATCGGTCTCTATTTTTTTAATACATGTATTTGATATGCACCACTCTTCTAAAGGTTAACAAAGTTATTCCCTACAAAATGTAAGTGTCTTGTTGGTCACATCAGCAAAGCTATCTTTATGACATTTCCAGTATGTTCATAAATTGTGATACTGTCAAATGCATGGGAATAACTGAAAATGACAAGGGGGGAATGAGAGATCCTCCTGTTCCGTTTCTTTCAGATGAGAGAGATCATAAATTAATAGTCATTTACTGGCTCAACTTCCCTTCATTATTAATAGGGGGAGCTATTTTAAGGCATCATCTTTGACTGAACTCCTTAGATTAGAAAATCTTCATTTGCTTGTCTATTAGAATTCACTATTTTTAGGTCAGCCTCATTTATCTGTATTATCTGCTTTTAAATGTCATTTGCTAATAGTCATTCAGCTTTTTAACACACAAAACAATCGCCCTTGAAGTATCCAGTTGCTACTTCAACCTGGAAAGGTGGTAATACTACCATGCAGACCTAACTCATTTTCAATACTGGGAGCACCATTCTGCCCAGAATGAGTGGGTGCTCAGCACGCAGTCATTGAGGGAGAGCTGTTCTGATGCCTATTGACAATTGTTTGCAGCCACTTCCTTTACAAATCCTTTATGCTACTCAGTCTAATTACAAGCTGTATGTTACATTTATAATGGCATGCAATTCAACAGTACTCGGAACAAAAGTTCAGGTTTGAAAAGGCAGCTGTAAGTCAGGTACTAAGCCATTAATTTGTGTCAGAAGTATTTTTGGAACCAAAATTGAGACCAAAAAAATTACCCTACAAAAACCTTCTCTAGTCCTCAGAGGTGCTATTTGATATGGAAAGTATCATACATATTTGCCACTGTGCAGAATTACAGACTTCCATCCATTAAGATTAGTATGCTGTCTTTGAGCGGCTATAATGGAAATAGGATTTTTAATATACGTGGTCTTGATGAGCTGTGGGAAAACCCCTTTTTCTTGCACTTTATTAGAAAACAATGCTTTCTTTTGCTTTCTTGCCTTCTTACCTGCAATGTTACTGAGGTTGGTGTATCAGTACTGCAGATGCCTGGGGCAATCATTGTTGTTGTAAGCGTGCTGTACAATGTCATGCTAAGCAGCACAGTTCCATGAACGAGCCGTCTGCAATACACACAGACAGAAATACTGCATCAGTACTGGAGACAAGGCGAGCAGGATTTCTCGAAATTACATCAAAGAACACGGAACTGGATAGCTTAAAAGACAAGCAAAAGGAGAACAAATCTTTTATCATTATGTGGTTAGTACAAATCTGGCATGGATCAGTAAAGGTTGCGTACTGCTGTAGTGGCATCTGTGCCGTTGCAGGGATCATGACACAAATCACGCTGCCAAGACATTCTAGGTCAGCTTTGCACTTTACCACTGACTTCTTGTGTGACAAGGGTTGCCATATAAGCTAGGTGTAAAATAAGGATAATACAGTATTTCTACCTCAAAGTTTAATTTTGAGGACAAATATGTTAGACATTGTGAAGTGTCAACACACTGTATAAGGTTGAGGGCAGTATACATTTATTCCACAAATAGAAGAAACTCAATGGCAACCTACTGCAACCATAAAGAATCCTTGTTGATTTTATGTATAGATGTCGCGGAAGAAGGAGTATGATATCAGAGTCTCCAAAGAGCTGAAAGGAGTTTGAGTGGGATAGTTTGTACCACATGGGCTGCATATGGTTTTCGGACAGATGAAAGATTATGGTCTGAAGTACCAGTCTAAGCACTACAGGTACAAGAAAGTCTTATCAGAAACAGGCATGCATGTGGTCTGCAGATAAGAAAACCAGCATGATTTGGCAGGTCAAAACAATTTGTTCTAGAAAACTTGAATAAAATCAGAAAGCTCAGGTGTAAAGTCTAATCATAACCAATCCACTTGAATTAAGAATGTAGTACCTGAATAAAGGAAGATAGAGCACACTGGACTTATCCTTTAATTTGTCCACATCTTAATGGTTAGTGAGGTCAGAAATTCGATTATATTTGACAACTCTTCTTTTACTGACAAACATTTTTTATTACAATCATTCCAAGCACTGCCCAGTCAAAACAACTCAGAGAATGAGCTAGATTCTCTTCTGGCCAGTGCAACAGAAACAGCCAGCCAGGTCGGTGAGTTTTGAGTGCATAGCTTTTACCTGAGATGAGGATGTTAGCAGTACAAGAGAACCCAGATGGACTTTCTGATCCCAGCATGAGTTTGCAACATTGCTGTAAGAAGGTACCTTTTGAATTGCAAACTGAAATGAATTGTTGCTAAGTCACCTGAAGAATAAGAAACTCCTGCAAAGTCATTTTTGTAGTCAATACTCAGTGTAAACCAATTCAGGGCTAATTTTTTCTTTTTCATTTCTCAAGCTATTCATGTCACTAGTGCAAACACTTTATTTTATTGTGAGAACACAGCTCAGGAGGACTAAAGACAAACCCATTCTCTGAAGTTTCTTTTGCAGCTGTAGGTGCTTTTCCAGGGGAATAGAGGCAGAAAAAGGAGCTGTGATGAGAACAAGATAGTGCTCGGGGGCGGGGGGG